GTGTGTGTGTGTGTGTGTGTGTGTGTGTGTGTGTAGGTGCAGGCCTCAGACCAGGCCTGGCAACAATAGCCACAGTGTTGTTTGGGTTGTTGCGTCCCGGACTCTTGGACATTCTTCCCATGTCAGTATAATCACTACTGGGAGGTAGCTCCATTACGGATTACCATATCATTAATAGTATCCATGACTTTTGTTCAAAGGCTACTTGTGTAATGTTGCCTTGTGGATGACGGCTAATCCGCTGAGCTGCAGCTGTAGGAAAGAAGAAGGGTAGATCCCACCATCGGTCCCTCTTTCTCTGTGTCTGTCACACACACAAACACACACATAGGGACACATAGAGGCATCAGCCCACAGGGATCAGGCCACTGAAAGACAGATACAATCAACAGTCAAACACAAAGTTTCCCCCCAATGCCAAAAAGAAACATCCATTCTACATTTCCCAACTGATCCCCTTCGTAAAGCCCCCATCTACACCCCCTGTCCCCAAGTTGGCCGTCATCCTCCTATTTAAAGGCCCGCGCTCTCCTCGCAGCCCTCCTCTCAGATGGTGGGCCAGATTAGGAGGGGTGTGTCTGTGTGTGTGAGGGGGGAACAATAACAGTTTTCAATGTAAAATGTGCTTCTTGTTAGTCCCTTTTTCCCTCCTTTCCCATCTCGGGATGGGAAGAGAAAAGGAGAAGCGTAAGCAGTCTTTCAGAAAGTTATCTGTGGGTGTCTTCTTCTCAACAAAAGTTGGCTTGTTCTGTGGCTCCTTTTTTAATCCCTCCTGCTTCTCTCTCTTTCCTTCTCACTCTTTCACTTCATTTTGGGTTATTTCTTTTCTCACACAGTGTTTTCACTTATTTTAGCTTGATGATTGAAAGCTTTCCAACAGATGCATATTTGTGTTGTCTTAATGCAGTCTGATGAACGTTTGTTTTTCCAGATTTAAAAAAAAATCTGAAATTTTAAATTATTATTTTTTGTCATAATTTAATTAATCAGAATAAACTGTTTGCATTCAGTTTGGACAGAAAAACTGCCATCATTAGACTGGCAGGAACCAAAAAGTATCTGAATTTACAAAATTAGTTGAACTTGTTAGACTAATGTAAAATTTGACCTGTTTTTAAAGGAGCAATATCATGAAAAATCAACTTTTTTGAACTTTATATCTTGTTATAACATTATCCCCTCATCAAAAACATACACAGAGTCTTGATTTGACTCATTCATGCATGTTTGAGGAAATCCTGTAGTGTCCTGAGGCAGTCATTCAGGAGAACATAAAAGGCTGGTGGGCCCATAGAACCGCCTTTTAGGTGCAGCTCCTCCTCTGGGCTGTGTTTCCAAGCTAACAGAGCACACCTCCCCCACGAATCAGGCTATCGGCAGCAACAACTAGCAAACAACTGATGAAACCGCATGTCTTCTGAGCTTTTACTTCTCAGTTCAGTCATTTTCAGATTAAAAAAACCTTTGAGGAAATGTATTTTCTGATTCCAAAGATGACATGCTTCTTAAGAAATGGTTGATTTCATTTTTGGAAGTAACCCTCAGACAAAATTGTTTTTTATTATTTCTATATACAGTATGTGCGAGCCACTTGATAGCTTTCTGAACAAAAGGGAATTTAAGAGTGCTGATAACCATTGTTGTCTGCCCAGGAAAGCTGAAAAACATCTCATGTTTTTTTTTTGGTTGGTTGTTTGGGCTATTCTATGGTTAGCATTTGTAACTTTTATTACAATCTGTGCTCTTTAGTTGTCTTACATCTTGTTTGAGTAATAAATAAATTAGTTTAACATTGGCRTGTGAGGATGACTGAGAGATCTTACCGAGCTGAAACATCGTCTCTCGTGCCATTTCTACAGAAAACGTACTTTCCTGGTCTGACGGTAAGGTTCAATTGTATACTGAGCTGCCATTTTCCAAAACTGATATTATATAATGTTGCTGGTTTTTTAATTATTACAACAAAATAGGCATGAAGCTGAGGTGGTGACATGCAGAAAAGGGCATGACGGAAGCAGCAGGAGACAGAGGCCAATTTCAAGGAAATGGCTGTGATGCAAAATTGAGTTCATTTTGATTTATACATATAAACAACATTTTCATAACAACTGAAGGTGACATAGTTATTTGTTATGGTATAGAATTGAACTATATGCCTGAGAAACACATAATATGGGCCCTTTAAAAATTTGATGGCATTAAAATTGCCTTAACTGTCATTCATCATGCCTGAAATTTGATGACTTTACCTAAAATGACTCAGATTTTCTTGTTAGGGCTACAAGTTTTTTGTATTCTGAGGCTGTAACAGGTCCAATTTAACCCATATCTACATGAATTTTAGATCCTGTAGTGTGGGTCAAGCCTAGAAAATATATGTTTTTAGTGCTTCTGTCTGTGTTCCCATTACCTCTGCTCATGCAGATTCCTGCAGAGACAGGCACCTGGTAGCTTGGCTCTTGCCTTCCTTCGCAGTTCCACTCAATTCTAGTTTCCCTTCATTGCTCTGTCTGGGATTTCAGACAAGAATTTCTCAGGTAGAATTTCAACCAGGTCAATCAGTGAACAGGAGGTGAAGTTGTGAATGAGAATGACGATTTTCTTTGCCGTCTTTTGCCTGTAGTTTTGCAATGGCAGCGGAGGATGTGAATGAAGCCAATCTGTGTTGACAAGGCTTCCAAATTAAAACCAAATTTGTCTCACAAAGCCTGCAGCACTCATTTATCTCGTTCAGTTTGGAATTCTCTCCTCTCAGTAGGGGATGGTTTTTTTTACAGCGTTCGCTATTTCCAGTTAGCTTCTTAGCTTAGCTTCTTTCACAGTCGAGCAGCCACTCGTCGTCACAGACAAACGTTAGCAATTGAGTGAAATAAATCCAGTTGTTTTAAACTTCGACAGAGTCATGCCTCCAGCAAGAAATCGCATATCAATAGTTGAGGTTCCAGACCCTCTGTATGAACCAAAACGTAAGACAAGGGGTTGTTTTTTTTTCTTACCAGGATAGGCACCTGGTAGTCTTAGAAGGGAACTCTCAAAAGAGTAAAACTGCACAGGAGTGATTACATACACTGACAAAATGTTGGACATAAACAACATGATTCACTGTGAGGGAGTTCAGAGGGACCAGCTCTTATGTAATGTTGTCTAATATTTAATTAAATAACAGCATGAAAAAAATCTTTATTTTCTCTTGTAAAATTCTAAATGTCTTTAAGAGTACAAGAGCTGGAATATAAAGTGTTCTATAAATACATCAATGCCTCCTAATCTTCAGACTCCTGACAGGTGTCTTGGTGTCAGCTCTGGTTTCCCTTTAAATTTTAATAAAATCAACTCTTAATGTCATTTTGGCTTGTTTTCTTTCTGGCTTTTTGTTGTAAAAAAAAAAAAAAGAAAGAAAAACTATCCAGATAAATTGTGCCTCCTGGATAGAGTGAATTTAACTGTGGTTTAATGAGAAGTATATGTACCATTCTACACCATATTTGTGATCCAGCTCACCATCACATGGCACAAATCAAGTCACACAGATGTAGCCTATACAAGCAGCTGAAATATGTAGACTAGCGCATCCAAATTTTTCAGCATTACCATCTTAATATGACATTGTGATTTTTAGAAAAATGCTTTTTTCCAAAATCACCTCCCAATAAATGTCATTTTGAAAATTCTTACTGCTCACGTTTACTCAATACTTTTACTTTTGATACTATGTTTTATATCAGAAACTTACTTTTGATTCTTAAGTACAGGAAATATCAGATACCTCAAGACATTTACTGAAGTGATATTCTTAGGAGAGACTAACTTTTACCAAAGTAATTTTATGGTAAGATACTTGTACTTTTATCACTATGAAGTACTTTATACAACATTGCTCTGTTGTTTAGACTCTTACCTGGTAAGAAAAGGAATCAGTCCTGTGTTAGCCTCTGTCCTCTGGCTTCTTGTATACAGTGGGGTGCGAAAGTTTGGGCAGCCTTGTTAATTTTCCCACTTTACCTTTTCTATATCATGGATTGTTTAGATAAAAAAAATCAGTAAAATATATCATATAGGGGACAAACACAGTGATGTTTGAGAAGTGAAATGAAGTTTATATGATTTACAGAAAATGTGCAATAATTGTTTAAACAAAATTAGGCAAGTGCATAAATTTGGGCACTGTTGTCATTTTATTGATTTCAGAACCTTTAGAACTCATTATTGGAGTTCAAATTTGGTTTGGTAAGTTCAGTGACCCTTGACCTCCATACACAGGTGACTCCAATTATGAGAAAAGGTATTTTAGGAGGGCAATAGTAAGTTTTTCTCCTCTTTGTATCTTCTCTGAAGAGTCGCAGCATGGGAGTCTCAAAACAACTTTCAAATGAGCTAAAAACAAAGGTTGTTTTCCGTCATGGTTTAGGAGAAGGATACTAAAAGCTATCCCAGAGATTACAGCTTTCAGTCTCCACTGTGAGAAATATTGTGAGAAAATGGAGGACCACAGGCACAGTTCAAGTCAAGGCTGGAAGTGGCAGACAAAGAAAAATCTGGAATAAACAGAAGTGAAGGATGTTGAACAGTCAGAGTCAACCCACAGACCAGCACCAAAGACCTACAACATCATCTTGCTGCCGATGGAGTCACTGTGCATTGTTCAACTATTCAGCACACTTTACACA